GAGAACTAACGCAGGGTAAGAGGCGATCGCTAGATAAATAGCGCCTGTCATTTAAGCTGGGTTGTCAGGGCAGGCTTCCTAAGGAGGTGACATTTGAGCAGCAGCCTGCTGAAGTGGCTGCCTAGGGCACCCTGAGGAGACGAGGTGGCTGCAGGGAAGGCCGGCGCGTGGGAGGGGCGTCTGGAGGAGAGGCGGGACAGCACCTGAGCTTGGGGAGACATTTGGGGCTTATGGATGGGAAGCCACGGGCAGGTTTGGAGCCAAAGGACCTGGGGGATAGTTCACGGGAGGGGGGCAGGTGCAGGGGCCAGGAGAGGGGGGAAGAGACCACCGGGTGGGAGGTGGGGCACCTGCGCCAGGGCTGAAGCCCGAGGTGATGAAGCCTGAGGAGACCCTGCACCTGTTTAGAAGGCAGAGACTGTAAGGTCAGGTTTTGCTGATGGATTGGGTTGGAAGCTGAGGGAAAAGGAAGCAATAAAGACAGTTCCGCAGCTTTTCACCTGAAAAGGGAGTGGGCTGAGGCGCTGTCCCCTTGGGCAGGTGCCGCTGCCCTGGAACGGCCGCGGTGGAGGAAGCAGAGGGAAGAGAAGTCGCGGGAGGTTGGATGCCCCTTTAGGTTTCTGACTGCAGCTAGCCTTTCATATTTTTCCAAAGATGTAAATTACTGTTTTCCTCCAAAAAAGTTTCTTCTGTCTCCTACATTCACTGAGTTTCCTCTGGGTTTTTAGAATCCACCTGCATTTTTTGGTCTCTTTTACGTTGGCAGCTGTCCTCAAACATCCAGTGGTCCCTGGCCAGGGGACAAGTTTAAGAAGGGGCTGTGGAGCTTACAGCGCGTGGGTGCTGCTGTCGGGTGATTGGGTGGCAAGCGGGCCTGCTTACTGTGGGATTCCCAACGCTCTGTACCCAGAGGTCTTCGGCGGCCTGTGGTTTCTCCAGACTCCTGCTAAGGGTGGATGGGGCTGTCTGGCTGCCGCTGGGTCAGGACCTGAGGTGGGGAAGGGACTGCGCTTTCACTGATCCCTGGTTTCCAGCCCCATGACCTCATCCTCAGGCCAATGCTTCTGAGTCCAGTGCATCTCAGGCTCAGTGTCTACAGAGAATAACCCCCTGGCATCCTGTGGAGGGGAAGGGGGGCATCTCCCATCATTACAAGATTTGAGAGGGATCCGGGGGTTTTGAATTTTAACCAGCATCCCAGGAATTCACCTTCGAGCCTCACTCCCAACTCTGCTTTTTCCACTGCCCTCATGTTCTGCACCTTGTAAGAGTGCCAGGGGGGTGATCCGGCTTGCCACTCCCTGGGATTCCCTCTGTGAACGCTTGGTGTGGTACCCTTTGCTCCCCTAAGTCAGTGATGCCCAAGCCGCTTTCCATGTTGGGAATCTGTGTTGAAATTTCTTACATGCTGACATCTCTTCTCTTTATTCTTATGGGTTTTAAATATTTTATTGACCGTCTTATACTCAGTCACAAATTTACCATTTGGGGCACACTCCTCATTTCTTTGTGTAGATCTAAGTTTCCATCTGGTATCGTTTCCCTTCCATTGAATAGCTTTCTGTAACAGTTCTTTTTTTTTTTTTTAAGATTTTATTTATTTATTTTTAGAGAGGGAAGAGAAGGAGAAAGAGAGAGGGAGACAAACATCAATGTGCGGTTGCTAGGGGCCATGGCCTGCAACCCAGGCATGTGACCTGACTGGGAATCAAACCTGTGACACCTTGGTTCGCAGCCCCGCGCTCAATCCACTGAGCTACGCCAGCCAGGGCTCTGTAACATTTCTTGAATGTCTTCTGATGAGAAATTCTCTTAGCTTTTGTTTGTCTATGAAACTATTTCCCTTTTATTTTTGAAGGATTTTTTAAAAAGATTTTATTTATTTATTTATTTATTTTAGAGAGAGGGGAAGGCAGGGAGAAAGAGAGGGAGAGAAACATCAATGTGTGGTTGCCTCTCATGAGCCCCCCACTGGGGACCTGGCCCGCAACCCAGGCATGTGTCCTGACTGGGAATGGAACCTGCAACCTTTTGGTTTGCAGGACTACGCTCAATCTACTGAGCTACACCAGCCAGGTGAGGGATTTCTTTTTACAGGATATCAAATTCTAGTTTGACATTTTTTCCCCCTAAGACTTTAAAGATTTTGTGCTGTTGTCTTCTCACTTGCATGGTTTCTGGTGAGAACTACGTAATGTTCCCTATGTTTGTTCTTCCCTATATAGCGTGTCTCATTTTTCAAAGTGCTTTTAAGATTTCCTTTTTGTCACCAGTTTTCAGCATTTGATTTTGATGGGCTTTGGTGTAGTTTTCTTTCTTCCTTCTTTTCTTTTTTTTCTTTTGTGGGGTGTAGTTTTCTTAATGTTTATTTTTGGTATTCATTCAGTTTCTTGATTCTGTGGATTTATCATTGTGTTAGTTTCCGCAACAAATTATCACAGGCTCGTTGGATTAAAACAAAAATTTATTCTCTCATAATTTCGGGGGTTGGAAATTCAAACTGAAGGTGTCAGCCAGGATCCCTCTCCTTTCAAGAGCTCTCTGGGCGGATTCCTCCTCTTCCAGGTTCTCATAGCTCTAAGCATCGCTTGGCTTGTGGCTGCATCGCTCCAGTCTCTGCCTCTTCACGCGGGACTTCAGCTCTCCGTGTGTCTTCGCTCCGTGTGTCTCACAGAGGCGCGTCGTTGCAGCTGGGGCCTGACTGGACAGTCCAGGCTGATTTTGTCCCGAGATCTTTAACTTAATTATTCTGCAAGGACCCTTTTTCTGAATAAGCTCACATTCATAGGTTGTGGGGGTTAGGATGTAGACATATATATTTTGGGGGGAGTGCACCACCCTTCAACACACTATAGTAGTTTTTTAAAAATCAAATTTGGAAAATTTTGGTGATAATTTCTTTAAGTTTGCCTTATTTACCGCATTTCCTTATCCTATCCTTTGGGACTCCAATCACACATATGTTAGAATGCCTGATAGTGCCTTGCAGATTGCTGAGGCTCTTGGGATGTTTTTCAGTATTTTGTTTTTCCTCTGTGCTTTAGTTTGTATAGTTCTATTGCTGTGTCTTCAAGTTCACTGATTTTTTATTCTGTAGTATCTAATCTACTGTTAATTTTACCCAGTGAATTTTTAACCCGCTGAAATTTTTATTCCAGATATTGTACTTGTCTCCCATTTCTCTCCTCACATATGTTGTGTTCATGTTTTTCTTTAAATTCTTGCATATAATGAGTAATTCATCATCTTTGTTTTTTAAATTTATTTATTTATTTATTTTCAGAGATAGGGGAAGTGAAAGAAAAAGAGAGGGAGAGAAATATTGATGTGCGAGAGGTACATCCACCAGTTGCTTCTCACATTCCCCCACTGGGGACCTGGCCCGCAACCCAGGCATGTGCCCTGACTGGGAATCAAACCAGTGACCCTTTGGTTTGCAGGCCAGCACTCAGTCCACTGAGCCACACCAGCCAGGGCTCATCATCTTTGTTATTTCTGTATATGTTTCTATTAAGTCATTTTTCTTTTAATTATGGGTCATATTTTCTTACTTCCTTGCCTATCTAGCAATTTGTAACTGGATGTAAGACATTTTAAATACTATGATGTTAAACATTTGGATTTTGTGGTCTTCCTGTTAGACTTTCTTCTGTCAGACTAAGTTAAGTTACTGGCAAATCAGTTTGATCCTTTTAAGCTTATTTTTAATTTTTATTTGATTGGCTGAGCTTTTTGTGCAGGGAGAGTTTAGCCTTACTACTAAGTAAGGCATAAGGCTTCTTGGGTCTCCCTCCCTGGATAAACAATAAGGTCTCTCTAGCAAGTTGGTGCTAATTGTCTCCCTGCCCTGGGTGAGCTCTGAGAATTTACCAGCTTATTGCCCCTTTTCTGCCTGGTCCTCTAAAGTTTCACTCTCCCCACGCAAAGTATTCAGTGAAGACTCAAAGGGACCCCATGCAGATCCCTGGAGCTCACTGTGGCAGAGCTTCCTCCTTCCCAGAACTCTGTCCAGCAGCTGCCAGCCCTGTCGGCTTCCCTGAACGCCTGTCTCCGTCTCCTTCGCTCCGGGGTGAGGTCCCCGTGCTCTGCTGGGGACCTTCCCGGAACTGCAGCCTGGAATCTTTCTCCCGGTAGAAACCCAGGAGATCTCAGGGCCCACCTTGTTTATTTCTCTTACTTCAAGGATCACAGTCCTTGTTGTCCAATGTCTGAAAAAGTTATTTTACATATTTTAAAGAAACAGTTTTCTGTGTCGGGTGGGAGGGTAATTTCGGTTACCTCATCATGGCTGTAGTAGAAGTCTTTTAATGGCATTTTAATAAAGTTTTGGGAAGGAGAGAAGTGACATGCATGTGGTCAGTTCACTGTACTTAACTAGAAGCCCTAGACTCCTGAAATATAAATGTTTATGTTTAACAAAATATGCTTTTATCACCCAACAAAAATCTCATGCAATATAATTGTGCTATTCACAAAACAATAACAGGATTATTTAAAATCTTTTTTTTTTAAGATGTTATTTATTTATTTATTTTCGAGGGGAAGGGAGGGAGAGAAACATCAGTGTGTGGCTGCCTCTTATGCACTTCCAACTGGGGACCTGGCCTCGCCCGCAGCACAGACATGTGCCCTGACTGGGAATCGAACCCATGACCCTTTGATTCCCAGACTCATTCCCAGGTCATTGGCCTCTCTAGACCACCTGCCAGCCCCAGGCTTATTCTTCGTAGGCAGCTCACTGGGCCATGGCGGAGGAGCCCCAGTCAGGGGGCCTAGGTGAACAGGGAAGGAGAAAGGCCCTCCCTTTCTCAGTTATGTCCTGCCCTGTCCCACAAGCCCCTCTCCACTCACTTGACCCCAGCTAATTGTCTGTCCTTTCCATGGCCTTGTGAGATGGGCAAGGCCGGGCAGTGCGGTGGTTGCCGCCTGCTCAGAGGCTAGTGGGCTCAGATGGGCTGCTGCAGCAGTGACCGGGGCTATGTCTTCACCTCCTTCTCCAGGTGGACATCGAGCAGCTGGATCCCCGTGGGCGGACTCCCCTGCACCTGGCCACCACACTGGGGCACCTCGAGTGTGCCCGTGTGCTCCTGGCACATGGTGCAGACGTGGGTAGGGAGAATCGCAGCGGCTGGACAGGTGGGCACCCCCGCTCACCCCAGCCCCACAGCCAGGATTTCCGCAGCATCTTCTCCTCACCTGCCCTGTGACATTGCCTCTGCTTCTCCCAGTGCTTCAGGAGGCTGTGAGTACCCGGGACCTGGAGCTGGTACAGCTGGTGCTACGGTACCGGGACTACCAGCGGGTGGTGAAGCGGCTGGCGGGCATCCCCGTGCTCCTGGAGAAGCTGCGCAAGGTGAGGGCCAGCCTCCCGGCCTCCAGGGTTACCGTGGCCCTGTAACCCTGTCTGTAGCGCAGACTTAGCCACTCTCCTTGTCATCCTCCAGGCCCAGGACTTCTACGTGGAGATGAAATGGGAATTCACTAGCTGGGGTAAGAGGGCTGACGTGGGCCTCTCTGGACCTCAGGGCTTTTGCGCTTGTTGCTCCCCTGCCTAGCACACTCTTCCTTCCCATTGCTGTCACTGTGGCTCCTCATCGTTCAGTTCTCAGCTCAGTGCCACCAGCGAGGCCTTTACATACTGCCTCAGACACTGTCTCAGTTCCGTTACTATTATTTCCTTCACTTTGTAACGATGTGCTCATTTGTTTGTGAGCTGTCACTCCTTGCTCGAAGGTAAGCTCAAGGAGGGGAGGGTTCTGTCCTGTTCAGTGTATCCCCAGTGACGGGAATAGTGCCTGGCACACAGTAGGTGTTTAATAAACATTTGTTGGAAGTTTGGGTGAAAAGCTGAATGAGTGAATTAACAGATGGGGAGAGTTGGGGGAACCCCTTATCTTCTACCAGTCCCTTACCCTTTCCTGGCCACACCCCTGACCCCCATGCCCTGGGGCGGCCCAGGTTGGGTGGGTCAGGCGAATCCAAGAATCCAAGCCACCGCTGACCTTCCCTTCCACCTAGTGCCCCTGGTGTCCAAGATCTGCCCTAGTGACACCTACAAAGTGTGGAAGAGTGGGCAGAACTTGCGGGTGGACACCACACTCCTGGGCTTTGACCATATGACATGGCAGCGAGGGAACCGCAGCTTCGTCTTCAGGGGCCAAGGTCAGGCAGGTGGGAGGTGGGGCGGGGTGGGGAGGTGTGAGACAGCTCCATGCCACCCCTGACCTCCATGCTGTTCCCTGGCTGGCAGACACAAGCGCCGTGGTCATGGAGATTGACCATGACCGCCGGGTAGTGTACACGGAGACCCTGGCACTGGCCGGGCAGGACCGTGAGCTGCTGCTGGCTGCTGCCCAGCCCACTGAAGAGCAGGTGCTGAGCCGGCTTACTGCACCTGTCGTCACCACACAGCTGGATACCAAGAACATCTCCTTTGAGAGGTGAGCGGGCATGGCCTCGATGGCCTGGAGCAAACCTGTGGGCTGGCCCCTCACCTGGACCCCTCTGCTTCCTCAGGAACAAGACAGGCATCCTGGGCTGGCGCAGTGAGAAGACCGAAATGGTGAATGGGTATGAAGCCAAGGTGAGGCCATAGCTCCCTGGTACCAGACCCCACCACACTCCTGCCCACAGGAAGCCGGGCCGGGGTTTCCTGATGACCACTCTCTCAGCCTTGGAGGTGCAGGGGCCATGCAGCACTGAGGGAAGGGCGCTAGACTAAGAGGCAACTGGTGAGAATGGCCAGATTTATTGAGCACTTACTATATTCATGTTCAAGTCACTGGTCTGACATTTTATATGTATACATACATACACATGCACACATGTATATACATGTATACATCACACAGACACACACGTGCTCAGAACAACTCTTTTGGGTTGGTACTATTATTATTCCCATTTTACAGATGTGTTTTGAACCCTTTCCACGGTATTCATTGAATACTCACAGCAACTCTGTGAAGTAGGATATGGGCCCATTTTATGAGGCCAAAATGGAGGCTTGGGGTGGTTGGATGACCCACACGAGGTCGCACAACACTAAGTGACTGCTGAGGTTCAGACCCTGGCTGCCTAACCCCACAGCCAGGCCTACACCCTTGAGAAGACTGGGTTGGTTGCTCCGGGGCCCCCACACACCCACCAGGGGCCCCTGCTGAATGAAGGGACTACCAGGTGCCGCAGGGTTTGGATTGCTTCCTCCTGAAGGCTTCCCTGGTTCTGCAGGCCGGGTCAGCGTGTGTGTTTTGTTCCCGCAGCCCCGTGCTCCCCACAGCAGAGCACGTACCCAGCACACTCTGTTGTAACTGTCCAACAGTTACAACTTTCTTGTCTCCTCAACTAAAGCGTGAGCCTCCGGAGGTTAGGGGCCATGTCTGGACGGGCTTGTTCGCCACTGTAGCGCTGACGCCTGCCTCAGTGCCTGGCGTGTAAAGGCTGCTCACAGAATGTTTGTTGAGGGAATAAGAATGAATGACTTCATGTGTTCACTTGCCCAGAGGCCTGGGGATTTGAGCAAACAGCTTCTTCTCCCCTGCCCCGGACCCTTTCTTGCAGGAACTATTCGGAAAGCCCTTGGTGGGGCACGGTTACCAGAGGTGTCCTTGAGCCCATTCTTCATCTTTCCCCAGGTATATGGGGCATCCAATGTGGAACTCATCACCCGGACACGGACAGAGCATCTTTCAGAACAGCACAAGGGCAAGGTCAAAGGTAATGAGGCAGTGGCACATGGGGGGAGGTGTGAGGAACCAGCTGCCACCTGAGCGCCTCCAGCAGTATTCCCTCTGACATCCCAGCAGAAACCAGGGTAGTTTATGTGGACAGGCCGTTTTCAAGTGCCCAGTCCTAAAGGCCGGTAGTGGCTGCCCAGCATGTTGCCAAGGTGACTGTAAAGCAGAATTTGGGCTCAATGGGAAGGAATTGATTACTAATGTCTGCACTGGATTTGGAAAGCAAGAGAAGTGCCATGTACACTTTTTGATGGCCACTCTAGTGAGACACTCTAGGCAGAAAGCCGGGGGCCCCTGCACTGATTCTCCGTGCCCGCTGACACTACACCTGGCTTCTGGGCGCCATTTAGTCTGTCTGAAGTGGAGAGATCTACTTCCCACCTCACGGGAGAACGAGTGAACGTGGAAGTGCCTGAAAGAAAACACGCGCGCGTACCCCAGAACTGCTCACCAAAAGCAGATCTTTTTTGTCCACTGTTGTGAACCTGGAGAGTGACACTTTTGGAAGTTTCTCCTGAGCCCCAGGCCTGTGTTTTCTCCCAGCTGTACTTCTGGTGGCCCTAGCCCAGCCTCTGGTGTCCTCGGTCACTGTCGGATGACGGTGCCTGCATGTACAGTGTGGGTAAACAGTCTCCCTGCCACCCAGGACCCAGTGTCCTCCCTAGATCTTGGGTGCTGTCGCTTCTGAGGGCTGCAACGTCCTCTGAGACGGCACATTTCTTGTAGGTTGCAAGACACCCCTGCAGTCCTTCCTGGGAATTGCTGAGCAGCATGGGGGCCCCCAAAATGGGGTGAGTGTGCGCCAGGGGTGCCCCTTGGTGGAAGGGCATGGATATGGCTCAGGGGAAGGCCTGGGAGGTGTCCTGCTTAGCATGGCCTGTGGACCTCTTTCCCGCAGCGCTCAGACCATGTTGGCTCCACAGTGGCAGGGGGGCAGCTCTGGGGCTGTAATACCAAATGGCTGGCCAGGCATCAGGGACTGAGAAGGGCTCATGGGCCCCTCCCCATGTGGTGCAGACCCTGATCACCCAGACTCTGAGCCAAGCCAACCCCACTGCCATCACCGCAGAAGAGTACTTCAACCCCAACTTTGAGCTTGGCAACCGTGACATGGGCCGCCCCATGGAACTGACTACCAAGACACAGAAGTGAGGTCCCTCGCTGGTGCCGGGCAGGGGTGGGCAGGGCAGGATGGGACAGGGGTCCCAGAAGGTTCTGGGAGGCCACTGCTTCTACAACGTCCCTCACGCCTTGGGATCCTGGGGGGGGGCAGGTTCAAGGCCAAGCTGTGGCTGTGTGAGGAGCATCCCCTGTCCCTGTGTGAGCAGGTGGCCCCCATCATTGACCTCATGGCTGTCAGCAACGCGCTTTTCGCCAAGCTCCGGGATTTCATTACTCTGCGCCTGCCTCCCGGCTTCCCTGTCAAGATTGGTGAGACCCCCAGCCTCCTTTCCCCATGGCTGCTGTTGTAGGGGTGGGGTGGGGCGGGGCTTCGATGTGCAAAACAGCGGGGCAGGGCTGAGGTGTGTGTGGGGGGGGGGGGTGGCACCTGACGATTTCCTCATCCTCAGAAATCCCCATCTTCCACATCCTGAACGCCCGCATCACCTTCGGGAACCTCAACGGCTGTGACGAGCCGGTGCCTTCGGTGCGAGGCAGCCCCAGCAGTGAGACCCCTTCCCCAGGCAGCGACTCCTCCAGTGTCAGCAGCTCCAGCTCCACAAGTGAGCCCTGACCCCTCTGAAGTCACCCTTTGCACCAGCCCCTCACCGGAGCCCTCCCTGCTCCTTCCTGGGGGGCCACTCTGACCTCAGTCTGCCCTCAGCCTCCTGCCGCGGATGCGAGATCTCCCCGGCCCTGTTCGAGGCCCCGAGAGGGTACAGTGTGCTGGGCGGCCAGCGGGAGACGGTGACCCGAGACGACGATGACGACCTTCTGCAGTTTGCCATCCAGCAGAGCCTGCTTGAGGCGGGCAGCGAGTATGACCAGGTGTGTGCCCCGTGGACGCAACAGGCCACCTGACCGCAGTGCCGCCGTAGCCAACGGGCCCCTGCCCTCTCCCTCCAGGTCACCATATGGGAGGCGCTAACTAACAGCAAGCCGGGCACTCACCCCATGTCCTGCGAGGGTCGCCGGCAGGACAGGTTAGTGTCCTCCAGGATTTGGAGATGCCTACGCACCCCAAGCACAGAGTACCCTAGTACTCTGTCACAGTAGGTGAGGACACTGCCCACTGAGCAGCCCCTGTTGGCCCAGAGAAACCGTGGTACCGTCACCAGGGACCCTACAGGAATCAAGATGGTCTCTGCTGTACACTTGCCTGACTCTGGGCCGGTGAGCAGTACTCCGAAAGTGCCTCCCTCATCGGGACCAGGCCTCATGGCCTCCCGACCCTCCCCAGGCAGGATGTCAGGGCTGGGGTTCTAGAAGATGCCCACATGCGCTGTCTGCTGTCTGCTGTCTGCTGTCTGCTGGGAGGATAAGTTTCGTAGGGGCTGGGATCTGCCACAACTGGGTGGGAGCCAGGGAGGCGATGCAGGACTGGAGGGTGGCAGGCCTGATCTGTCCTGGGACCTTGATGCCTGGAGCCCTAGATGTGTCTTCCTTGCCCCCAGAAGCGCCCCGCCTACGCCACAACGCCAGCCTGCGACCCCTACCGCCGTTCCCAGCCCTCGGCCCAGTCCTAGCCCTGGTAGCTGCGTGTTCCGGAGCTACGACGAGCAGCTGCGGCTGGCCATGGAGCTGTCTGCGCAGGAGCAGGAGGAGCGGCGGCGGCGAGTGCGCCAGGAGGAGGAGGAACTGGAGCGAATCCTGCGGCTCTCACTGACCGAGCAGTAATGCCACTGCCCGGCCTTCAGCCGTGCCATGCGAGCCCCACCCGGGAGTGAGACACGCCCCGACCCACGCGCACTGTGGCTGGAGACCAGAGCCACTGCCTCAGGGGCATAGGGACGCACCAAACACCAGACGAGGGGTTAGGCATGGCCGCAGGGTATCTTTGCGGGCCAGGGCCCTGGAGGCAGCTGGCACGGCCGGGTCCCCCTGCTTTGCTGTGTCCTGACCCCCAGCCTGTCCCAGGGCAAAGCCAGGCGGTCCTGAGTGGGAGACCGGTCCTTAGAGGAGCAGTGTCCGCGTCCTTGCTCCTTCTGGCTCGCTCTACTTTCTGCTCACCGACCCCACTCCAGGACACTGCCTGTGAAGCCTTTGCATTTCCGCTCTTCACCCCTGGAGGGCGGCTGAGCTCCCCACGTGCTGTGTAGCTGCTTTGTTCCAGACACAAGCCGGCACGTCAAGGGCCCAGCCCCTCCCCCACCCCGGCATTTCAGCGTCAAGTGCACTTAGCGGGGTGTCCGGCTCCCCCAGCCCTTACACCCCTCCCAGGTCTCAGGGTGGTCGCAGCTTCAATATAGGCGGCCAGAGGTTGGAGACCCCTTCCCCAAGACATGTTTTTGTGATCAAGGAGGGTGCCCAAGTTGGCCCCCCAGTCCTGGGCAAGGCCTGACTCCCACATGCTGTCTTGGCAAGTGCGGGCACGGGGGGAGGGGACGTCGGGCTGGGGCAAGCACTGGATCCCACACTAGACTGCACAGAGGGGGGTTGCCCAGTGCCCTGGCGCCACCACCCGCCCCTTCCCGCCGGCTGCTGCTAGCCCTCTGTGGTTGTGCGTCCCACTCGCCCCCACCCAGGGGCTGACTCTAAAACCCTTCATCCAATGGTGCTAACCCCCGGCTCTCCCCTGCCCCGCCCCGCCCCGCCCCCCCAGAGAAGCACAGACCCTGCCAGGGGCAGGGGCCCACAGCACACTTCCCGGCTCTCCCTGGCTGGCCCTCCTGGTTCAGCCAGTGAGGTTCAGAAGGGACACAAAAGGAGTGGAAGAAAAGAACAAAGAGAAACTGTTCCTCTTATCCCCTTCCCTGATGCCAGGGGCACCAGACTGATTCTGAGGCACAAATTAAAGAGGCTTCAAACCTGAGGCTTTTCCTACCTACCTTTACTGGGGAAGAATGCCCACCTGCTTTCTGGGGGTTCCTTCCGGCCTTCAGTGTGGGGAGGGCTCTGAGGCAAGAGGATGCGTGGTGGGTCCTGAGCCCAGGGCAGGGTTGCGTTTGTCCCCAGGAGCCTGGGCGTAGCATTCATAGAGACTGGGTGGGTCTTGCCCTCCTCACCCCTCATCCATGCAGGAGGCACAGAATGAGCGCTTAGTAAACAGTTTCATTCAGCATGTCTTGTTTTCCTCCTAGAGTCAAGGCCACAGCAGAGGACTGGGGGTGGGGTGGGCTGAGGAGACATGGTGAACCGGCTCCCTCAGGCCAGTTCTATTCGATGTCCTGCAGAGGAGCCAGGAGGAAGCTGCCCTCTCCCCCGCAGGTGGGAAGAGACCCCTCTGCTGGGCGGGGCCAGTGAGGCCAGCTCTACAGCCAAAGGGTTTTATTTGTACACCTGGGGTGATGCCTGTTCGGTTTACCATTCATGTTGGTGGAGTCCAGGGCGCTGATTAGCGGGAGAAGCGCTGTAGTTTCCCCCAGCCGGTCTGGAGACACCCAACGAATCGTCACCCTTTTGAGGTCAAGTCCAAGTTCTCCAAATATCCCCAGGCATCCCGCTAATAACTAAGTACGTTCTCTGCCCTGAGCGAGAAACAGAGGGGGACACGTCTCACCGTGCGGCACCATTGCTGAGGTCCTGTCGCCCCAGCCTCGCAAGGCCAGTTCCTGCTGAGTTCCGGACGAGGCGCACAAGCCCCACGGATGCACGTCTCTGAGACGCTCCATTTCTCTAGGCCTCCTGGGAGCGGGGGCAGTTCCTTCCCCAGCCCAGAGACTTGAGGTCCCGAGTTCCAGACCAAAACCCTGGGCCAGCGGAGTCCAGGCAGCCGGCCCAGCCTGGACCTCCGGGCTCGGAGCTGTCCCCGGAGCGCTAGTCCGTGCCGTCCACCAGCTCGCACAGCATGTTCTCCAGGGCCGTGATGCGCTGATCCTGGGCCTGCACCTGCTCTCGAAGGGCCTTGATCTCCTCCAGCAACCTCTCGAGAGTGTGCTGCTGCTGGGGCGCAGAGGACAGAAGAGGCGGTGTCGGCCAAGGGGGGCGGTAGGGGGCCCAGGAGACTGGATGGAGCCTGGCGGGATCTTACCGACAAGGGGCTGTCCTGGGCTGACTGGCTGCGGCGGGGGCCGGAGGGCGGGCGCACGTCCAAGATGTTGGGCTTGGTGACTCGGAGCTCTCGGTGCTTGGGGGGCACGTAACCATCCCTCAGTGAGATGAGCACAGGTTCGGCGTCCTGGCCCGACAGCCATTCGTCCGCTTCTAGGGCTGGCTCGGGGCCCGGAGTGTCTGGATACAGATCGTCCTGGAACAAGTCTGACTGCGGGGGCCGAGGAACGGGGGACCAGTGTCAGCACGACGTGCTCCGCTCCCTCCCGCCCCGGAGCCTCGCCCGACCCCTCTCCTGGCCCCTCACCTTGCGGGGCACAGTCATGACGATGGGTTCACACTTTCTTTCGTGCAATTTGTAGAACCTATAAAGGAGCGTGGGGTTCAGCACCCCCGCAAGATGCCACTCCCTTAACTTCTACCTGGGACCAACCGGTTGGAGGCCAACACTTGCGGAGTGCCTAGCAGGCATTGCACTTTAAACACATTGTTGGTCCAGCTGATAAAACACCTCTGCTGGGGTGTTTATCATCATTTTACAGATGAGGAAACTGAAGTTCAGAGAATGTCACGCTAGTTAGCACTGGGACTGGCACTGGAAGCAAGCTTGTTTGACACCCTCCTCCCCACTCTTTCCCAAAGATCACACTATTGGGGGACTCCCTCGTGTGTTCCCCGCCGGGAAGTGAGAACAGAGGCAGGCAAGCGGGAAGGGTGGAGGCTGCTGACCGGGCGATCTCGCACTTGCTGACATCCAGCCCCCGTTTGGGCATGAAACCCATGCCCCTCTGAGGCTCCTTGCTGCTGAACGTGTTCAGGTAGTGCACGAAAGGCGGTTCGTCGGTAATCTCAAAGTACCGAATGCTGCTGTCGCCCTGCAAAGCCAGTTGGTTCAGAGACACACCCCGGAAGGGGCCCTCCACATCTGTCCAGCCCCCTGTTCTCCCCGCCCAGCCGCAAAGCACCTTGCCGCATAGGTAGATGATGCTGGAGTCGGGATCGTAGAAGGGCAGTAGGACCCCGTTGCTAGTGTCCATTTCCTGCAGTGCCACTGGCTCCTCGAAATTGTTCTGCCCGAGCACAGGGGGTGTGACCAGTCCAGTCCCGCGTTCTGTGCTGCTTCTGGATCCCCTGAAGCCCCAGTACGATTCCTGCCCACCCCAAACCTCACGCGTTCCCACCACAGTTCTGGTGAATCCAGCAGCAGGCCCCGCCCCTGGACGCATCATTCCCAGTCCCCCGCACACATGCCCCTCGCGCCGCTGCATGCAGTCACCGCAAACCACCCCCAGGGACTCGGCATCAGCAGGTGGGGGCGCCAGCGTGGGTTCCTTCAGGCGACGCAGCAAAACTGGGCAGAGGGGTGGGTGTGGGGATGGTAGGCGCTGCAAAGAGGGCAGCAGCCCCCAGCCCTGTCCAGGTGGGCATGCCCTGCGGGTGGGGGGCGCCTGGCCCCTCTCCCGTGATGCCAGTCCCGGGGCACACACCCCAAGCTTCCAGCTGCGTTACCGGGTCCCACAGGCCCAGCTCTCGCTGGCTCATGCGGGTGAAGCCCGTAGTGAAGATATGACCCTGGCGCGTGAAGATGGCCCGCATGGGCCTCATCCCCTCGTGGGCAGCAAACCTCTCCTGGGGGTAGGGGGGAGACAGGGAGAGGTGTCACCCAGCTGCCTGTTCTGGGGATCCTGGGGGGCCGAGCAACCAGCTTGCAGACTTAGGTATGGGAGGCAGAGGCAGAGACAAAAGGGGGTCTAAGTACTCAGCTTCCGGGGGCCCTGGCTGGCTCCGGGCCTGCGGAGCGTCTGGGCCCTGAGAGAGCCGGAGGCGTGCATCTCTCAGTAGATGGTGAGCCCTCCAGCGCCCTCGGAGGCTGACCCCTAGAGCAGGGGATGTCTGCTGGTTTCCCGGGGACGCAGCGAGGCTGTTCCCAGACGGGTACTTCCCGCTCCGCTTCGGCCCTCTTGGGCACCGGCCACCGCCTGGGAGAGCGCTCCGGGCTGACCGAGCGAAGTAGCGAGCGCACGCGCCCGGCGTGGCCTGGCCTACCGGGTCCCAGAGCGCGAGTTGCCGCTCACTCATCCTGCTGAAGCCGGTGCTGAGTAGCTTCCCGTCTGCAGTGAAGACGGCCCGCAGCGGGCGGGCGCCCTCGTGAGGCCGTGCTCGCTCCTGCTCGCGGGGTTAGTGGGTTAGAGGGCCGGTCGGCTGCGCGCATTAGGCGCAGACAAACATGCACGCGCCCCGCGCTCCCCGAGTTAGACTGAGGCTGAGGAGGCAAGTGCAGGCACCCTCCCAGAGCACCCAGCTGGGACCAGCAATGCGAGAGGGTTCCCCCCTTTCCCCACCCCAGCGAGTCAACTAGGGCGGAAAGGGCCCAGCTGCGAGCCAGTGTCAGGCCCCTGCCCCTGGAAGATAGCGCTGGGTACCGGCTGAGAGGAGAAGGGTCCGGGAGCTCGGGTGTCATGCAGGTTCTAGTGGGATGATAGTTTGCAGGTTTCCCCCTTCTCAATCACAAATCGAGGAGCCCTCCTCTGAGCTCCTGAGATGGGGAGGGGAGGGCAGAGGAGTGGGGCAGAGAACTGGGGGCTCCGGGCTTACTCGGGGCAGGGAGCTGTGGTTGCAGGCAACGCGGGTGGAGGGTGGGGGCACTGGTCCCTGCGGATGGGGTGGGGGAGGTGAGAGCTGGGACCAGGGGCTCAGAGGATTTCAGATGCAGGGGTCTGACAGTTGGTCCCTGGGGTAGGGGTTGGGGAGTGGGCAGGCCAGGCACTCACCGCCACCACCTGGCCCTTGCGGGGATCAATAATGCGCAGGGTCTTGTCCTTGCAGGTGGTGGCTAGCAGGCTACCATTGCTGTTCCAGCACACGCTGTGGATGATGTCCGGGTGCATGTCGTCCAGGCTCAGGAGCACCTCCCCAGTGCCCACGTTCCAGATGATGATCACATTGTCACTACCTGCCCAGAGTGGCCATGCACCATCAACCGGGGCCCTGCCTTTGCCACCCCATCCCCAGATCTATGGTAGGGACCCCCTCTAGGCCCCCAGACCTGCACTGAGCAGGACATTCCGGGCAGTGGGGTGCCAGCAGAGGATGCCCACACGCTTCGAGTGGCCTTCTAGTGTGATGATGGGTTCTGTGATGTTGCGCATAGGGGTATAGTCTGGAATCTGCCACACCTGGGTAAGAGGAAAAGGCAGAGGATGGGTGGGATGAGGAGCCACTTTGTCCCTCTGCTCCTCCCTTACTTCCTCTCCTCAACCCTCCAATCCTACTGAGTTTCTTGAGTGGTGCCAAATGCAGGGCAAGATATGGTGGTGTCTGCCTGGGTCACAAGCAGCTGGGAGCCAGGAGGGGGCACTGCCAGCTCTCCAGAGACCTTCCTACTCACCCCAGCACGGAGACTTCAGAGCGCTACCCTCCTGTTCCTCAGGCCCCAAATTGGCCATGGCTATAATTAGTCCTAAGCAGTGCATGCTGGGAGGAGGTGGGCATGTAGCTAAAAATAGCTTGGGAGCTGGGTAGGGCAGGGCCCTGGGACCCGGCACCTCCCTTACCACCTTCCCTAGAACAGGTGAGGCAGCCCTCCCTGCTTCCCCCTTCCCAGCTACCCATCAGCTTCCAACTGGCTCCTACCATGATGGTGGTGTCGTCTGAGGCACTGGCGATGACATTGTCATTGTGTGGGCACCAGTCAATGTCCAGCACAGGGGCAGTGTGCCCAGTGACCAGTGGGTGGTTCTTATCCACTCGCCCTGTCTGGAGGGGTCAGAGAGGGAGATGTGGGGCCATTCTCCGGTGTGATTTTGGGAGCAGGCAGTGACC